TATATATATATATATATATATATATATATATATATATATATATATAGATAGATAGTATATGTACCTGGGAATGCATTCCAGGGAATGCCACTAGAAAAATTTCCATTTTATACAACAAGCACCATAGAAAGTTGGAAACTCCATAAAGCAAGAGTCCCATAAAAAAGAAACAATTGACATCGTAAGGCTAAACAAGAAACGGAACTAAAATTTATCTCCATCAATAAAAGGACTGATTGGCAGCCTAGGATGAAGGCCCCAAAAGACCTAATCTCCAGGTCAATTGCATCGGAAATAGGAAAGCAAGGTAGGTACTACCAAAATCAACCTCATAAAAACCATATATTGTCACCATCATGCGATCCCTACCTAATTAACAATATAAAAAAGCAAGTTTAGATATTCTCTTATTTTACCATTGTGCACTGAAGTATTCCAAACCATAATTATTGGAGGCGAGAGCGGGATCTGTTCAGGGAATGCCAAACCACCATGCGGTGGAAGTTCGCACCAGTAGTTCAATTAATAGCATAGCTCCTCTCCTTGGAGGGATCCTACAAGCATGTAGACTGAGATGCCATTTCATAGGGAGCGAGATCCCTATTTTCTAAACCCAACTCCCTTTAAGATCCCTTAGAGGAGCCATCAGGATCGAGTTCCTAAGGTGGGACCATGGCCTTTACCCCCAAGGTTCTCGAAACTATGTTCCAAAGTTCTCAAGAATATGGGGATATTTCTCTACTTAAAATTTCTAAGCCCAGAGAAAGAAACCTATGATCCTCTGAGGTGGTAAATTAATTCTAGTGTGAGCACTCGAAAATCGCTGATATAGCCTTAGCAGCACATATAAGGCTTGAAATGTGGGAAAATGAGTGGTTAGCGCAGGGCAGAAGTGTACACATGGCTTCCAAAACAAAAATTTAGGAATCCGAGGTTCCTTTCACAAGAGGCTGGTAGACTCATCTCTCAATACACTTGCACAGGCAAACCACAAAGGGAGGACAACTGAGTGGTTAGTGCAGGGCAGAACTGTACACATGGCTTCCAAAACAAAAATTTATGAGTCTGAGGTTCCTTTCACAAGAGGCTGGTAGACTCATCTCTCAATACACTAGCACAGGCAAACCACAAAGGGAGGACAAGTGACGACTCTGACGGAATGACAAATTTCACCATGCCCTTGAATGACTTCGTAAAAGGACATGACGGTCTCAGTTTGTGATTATCTGAAAGCTAGTGTGACCTCCATAACCAACAAAGGCATGATGCATAACCAACATTCAGAATGTGATACATGAACAAAATTCACAGATTTTGAGACCCCAACACAAGTCACAAGGGTAATGGATTTCATAACATGCCTAAAAGCATACAAAGATAACCATCACAGTTGTCTAAGTGCCTGATAGTTGTCCAAACCAAAATTAAATACATGGACAAATCCAAACAGTCAATAATGCCACAGTGGGAAAAATCTTTGCAACAGGTGTGAAGATCCCCATCAAGACCAAAAAAAAGGCATGTTGGGTACAGTCTTATTGATGACACGGGGACAAATCCATGCAATCTCAATTCAAGAAGTGACGGGAAGGACATTGTGCCAAGCTAAATGATACGAAACCGAGTCCAATGCAGCTGAATGGCAGCACATTAGGTGATCAGCTCTCAGTCCAAGTATGGGTATGACATCGCAACCCAAATGAAGGGTGTGAATGTGATTATTAATCATGAAGGCACAATGGGTGTCTCATGCTTGTGTTGAGACAGGAACAAATCCATGACCCCTCACTACAAAGCACGATGCTAAGGATAAGATGCACAGAAAAATTCACGCAAAGTTAACATACGGACGAGGAGAAAAAAAAAATTGTACAAAATGAGTAGATGTAGAGAAAATTGTTATGACTAAGTAAAGATACAATAGCTGTACAAAATAGAATTCCCTCACACTCATATGATGGACAATTAAGAGGGGACACCGCTGTGATACTCCAAAAGGGAGATCAGATGTGGCAAATTTGAAGGTTCATCAGATTTGAGTAAAAGTCAAGAAGGATCACTCATTTTTGGAGTATAAAATGCCTAACATGTTTATAACATGTTTAAACATAAAGTTTTGTTTTAATGATATAAGATCCAGAGCGTACAAGAAGGAAGCCAAGTTTAGTTTAGACACTATTACTAAGTCAATCCAGAATGTCAGAATTAGAGTTTGGAAACTTCAGAACCCCTTCTCAACTTTTTGAACAGCATCAAACGGCCAAGGGAAATTCAATACGGGGTCCCACAAACAGAGAAAATTAGATTTAAAGGACGAAATAAGTTGTGTTTTGGGTTGGAAAATATAACACAAGGACTCTACTCCTTTTTAAAGTCTTTTTAAAAAGAGAAAGCAAGGTTGCACTAATGGGACTTGTTTACGGGAGAGAGGAAGCCACTTCCATTAGTCAACCTGTGGAAATTTGCATTCTCCTAATAACTTTTGGGAATCACCTTCAACATGAGCATAGGTAAAGAGCCGCATGCAAGTTTCCTCTTCCAATCAAAGAAATTTCAGATCCATCATTAGTTCTTTGATTTTTGACAGAGAGCCTCCTCACAAGAAAAAACAGAAAAGTATTGTATTCATAGTTACTGGAAAAGGAAGAAATTCCCTGTGTTGATTTGGATAAATATGGTCAGTCCATTGACGTTATGACATTCAGTGACTGAAATTCATCACAGGTGTCAGATACTTTGGGCCAAAAACCTATCATGGCCAGAAATGACAGAGTATGCAGTCACGATAATACGCATTTATTAGCTACAAGTTGACCTACAACATGACATAGACTAAACAGTCGTGATAATAGAAATACATCACAAACAGCACTTTGCGTGCATAAAGCAACAGATTTCATAAAAAACAGAAGAATGGCAATCCTTATAATTATTAATTTATAAAAGTAATGATAGTCAGATGGTCCCATACCATACACCATGCCTTGAGCAAACAGTACATAAAGAGTTTTAGCTATACAATGTGAGAAGAATTAAAACACAAGACCACCATAAATGAAAGCATATCAGAAATTACATAATATCAAAGAAAGTTCCCACAATAGACTACTTACGAATCAATTGCAGTAACTTCTAAATCACTTCCATATAGACTAATTTCCAAGAGACATACCTAATAGGTTTATAGCTGCACAAAGAGTACCCCCAGTAGCAACCAAATCATCAACAACCAAGGCCCTGTCACCTTGTTGAACAGCGCCAATGTGCATTTCAAGACAATCTCTCCCATATTCAAGGACATACTCTTCAGAAATAACCTCACCTAAAATATTCACAAAAAAACGGATTCAAACCAAAGAGGGAAACATAAAATAGGACGTTCAAACTTTTATTCCAACAATTTCCTTAACTTGAGATAATAGAAAAATCTAAAAACAAATCAAATGCAATAAAAGGAAATCCAATAACAGACATCCAACAGACTTTCATCAATCAATGCACATCCAAAATAAAATCCTACAAGTAGCATGTCAACCTCATCAACAATGATCCACATTTACCAATCTGCTGAAATTCAGACATAAATAAAACAATTAATAATAAGAAAATAGCATACCACAAAGAGCATCCTAATTAAGTATTTGTATCATAAATATGATTGCTACAACTTAAACAATTTTGTGAGGGGGAAATATTTGCAAAGTATGCAGGAAACATTGCTATGAAATAGTTGAAACTCAGCAGATATATGAACCTTATACGAAAAGAAATGTAGAAAGGACAATAAGAAGGCAAGTCTAATGGTAGGATTATGGAACTTTGGAAGGAAAGGTATTTCCCTTGTTCAACATACTCCACACATTTGCCCTAGATAAGTATATAAAGCAAGCTACACCTAACTAGGGCTGAGAATTTACTCGGTCCGGATCGGAAACCCAAATTTCGGATCCAGATATGGATCCAAAATCCGGATTCATGATCCAAAATTTGGATCCAATTAGTAAAATTCGGATCACATCGGGGTACAGGTGGATCCGATCTAAATCCAACCCGGTTTTAAAAATATATTAGTTTATATAATATATATTATATATTTATGAATTAATATATAATATATATAATTTTTTAAGTTTTTAGAAGACCTAATCCCTACCGTACTTTTATAGAAAATGATGAGGATTGGATCTCACTTCTCTCTCTCTCTCTAAACAGTAAACTCGTGGATTGAATTAGGGTTTCCCCGTAAACCCATTCTCACTCCCATTTATTATTGCCCATCCTCACTCCTGCCGTTTATTATTGCGTTGAAAAGAGAAAGCAGCAGAGTTCTTTGATTCCCTTTGCCCCCTCCTTATTCAAGCGAAGCCCTCTCTCCTTATTCAAACGGAGAGAAAGAGAGAGAGAGGCTCCCATGGGGCAACAACCCTTAAAGAGAGAAAAAGTGGATCCCATGGAGCGACAGCCCTTGAAGCATTGCAGCTTCTCCGATCAGCAGAAGCAAAACGAGCTGGCTTCCAGTCACCAACCACCAGGATTCTCAGCTCCATGCCCAAAGAGGAATACAGAACAAGTAGTTAAAACCAGGTTAAGGATCGCTTACTGTTATTGGCCAGAAAACCAGTGAATGACTGGAAACTGTCAAACGTCGCCCGCAAAAAGTATTTAATGGCCAGAAAATTGACCACGACAGTCAGAATAACGACATACAATAGAGTTCAAAACACAGCTAAGAAACAAGAGACACATAAGGGAAAATGGCCATCATTATTTGCTGGGAAAACCCGTAACACGCCGAAAATCTTACAAAATAAAAAAATCCAGATCAGAAATAACAACTTTTTGCTGGAATAGCCATTAAAAGACCTAAAAACAAGGGCTAGAGTACGAGAAACTATGGCACAACAAAAACAAGGGCTAGAGTACGAGAAACTATGGCACAACACGAGTTGAAAACCCAACAAAACAAAGCCAAATCACACCAGAAAAAGCCACTAATCAAAGAAAACAAACATAGAAAGCTCACGAGAAAGAGAGAGAGTAAACTGAAATAAAAGAGCAGCGAGACTCCTCACCTCAAAAAAACCAATCTTTTTTGGTTCCGGATCCTATTATGTAGTTTCGGATCCATATCCACATCTTAACATTTTAAATCCGATTGAATCCAGATCTGGATCCAAAATCCTTATATACTTTTTGGATCCGGATCTGGATCCACATAGATCCGGACCCAATCCAACCCATTCTCAGCCTACTCTGATCAAGAGACACCTCCATATTTTGATAAGAAAGCAATCTATTAAATAATTTCTAGTGCATTGCTACGAGAAGAATGAGATTGTGCCACATATGAGTTGCCTTGGCTGCCTATACAATTGAATCCACAATGCTTTTTCTCTACAAGAACAAAACTTTTATATGATGATATGATATATGGCCATTTAGCCCCAAGGTCACAATACGTAGAAGAACATGAGGCAAGGGTTTTGGCCATAAACTGCACCAACTTCTGTATATACATTGAAAGATGACTATGGAAGGCATTAGGTGTATATAGAAGAAGAGGCTAGGAGGTTCATAGAATTTTGAGTCATAATGAAAATGCCAATAATGACAAATTTGCATCAACTCTTCTCCAAGGGTAGAACAAGTAAACAACAATTCTGCTTTCCATAAAGTAAATAACATACTTATTGTCTGCTGGTTTCTCTTTGTTGTTTTTTCTCTTTTTTATGATACGTCCTATGGTTTCTTCATACAAGAACAATAACATTTTATGCCACTATGATTACAATAAAATAGCCATTTAGTCACCCAGGTGAGAATTCATATTATATCATGAGCCAAGGGCAGTTTTGGTTATAATCTGAATCAGATTTCTGTACGTACACTGCCAGATTCCTGGGAAAGGCACCAGGTACGTATAGAAGAAGCTAGAAGGTCAAAGAAACATGTAGGTGAACCAGAATTAGACAGGCCAATCCGTGTAAATGCACATGCAAAATATAGATTTTCTTATAGAAGCTCTGGAAGGGATTCCAATCCTGTTAGATCATGGCTACTTGCTCGGGGAGAGAGTAACCAAGAAAGGGCAATCCCTTCATTTTACATACAGGAGCTCACTTTTCGAAAGGAATTGAACTTAGCTTGTAAATAGGTAACACCTGACTTTTGAGGAAGTGACTGTCGTGTTAGAATCATCACATTGCTCAGTTTTTACAGAACTAGACCAGGTTAAGAGAAAAATCGATGGAAGTACCTGGTATCGCTTCACTTGACTTGCAGAAGATTTACTCAAGTCATTGCAATAATCCATGATATGTTTTGCTGATTCACCTAAATTCCTCACGTCACAATTTTGCCATTTAGACAGGAGTTTATTTTTTTTATTTTTTTTAAAGTTATCAGGAGTTTATGACTATTTTATATAGGACATGAGTTCTTTGAGTCTATGTAGAAATGAATCGACTCTTAACAATCTATTTTTGAGATGGAATCTTCGGACCCCATTTTTAAGGACATGTAATCTCTAACACAAAGATCATGAATATAAAAAATGAATAAAATTTTAAGAAATAAAAATAATGATTTTATGAAAAAAAACATTTGGACAGTTCATTTCAATTGTTTTTAGATGGACCACCTATTTGCATCCATCTTTAAGATGGATGCTCTATACCTTGTGACCGCATATTGTAGAAATGCAGTCCAGCCCGCATGAAACAATTTTCCTTTTATATATTCTTTAATAGACAGGAAATTAGTTAATGATGGATCCTTCGATTTCCAAAATCATAGCCATAAGTCATCTTATTCTGAGATTGGCTCTCCCCCCACCTCAAACTTACCTTCAAAACAACGGAATAAACCAAACATGCAAACTGAAGTGTCCCAATACATGGTTATGACTCTTTCTGTTGCTCTTCCCCTTCTTATTGTGGGACTAAAATGCTAAGAGCCCTAAACTCTTCTAAGTTCTCACCTAGTCATTTGTGGATAATCCCTTCTCCACTCGTATCTTTCAATCTTTTTCCACCTCTCAATTTCCTCTTTCAATTTCTATGATAGTATCTCTCACCACTTATTCTCTTATTATTAATATTGTTGTCAGATTTTTTCATTTATAATTGATTTTCTAATGAATCATTATTCCTTTTGTTATATTTTACACTTGAATATTTACTTAATTTTTAAAAATTCCAAAAAATCTATCCTTCCAAGCCAAGCACATGGCTTGCCAAACCCTAGTCAAATCCTACATTAACAAACACTAACCGGAACCAAGGCCATTTGACACTAGAACACAACATATACTGGGAATAAAGCATTTCAAAAACACGTTCGGAACTTTTGATACTTCCACTAAGTTTTGTATTTGTATCCCACTATTTAAGCATCGTCTTGAATATTTCACAAATGTTTTTTTGCTCCCTAAACTTGAAACTGATGGGTAAACTTTCTGTATATCCCTGGTACAATAAACAACAATGTTCCCCAAATGTTTGAAAACTACAGGGATCCACTCAAACCCATGCTCAGTAAATGGCCAAAGCAGGCAGATGCATAATATTATATAAATACCTTCTTTAGGATGTTTGCCATGAAGAATGGGTAAATGTGTGAAGATTGAGAAGATCAAAGCTTGAAAGGGTAAAACACCTGCCAAAGGTCCATTTTAACGAACTAGTAATAATAATAATAATAATAATATTAAGTTTTTAAAAGGGGGCTCACCTGCTGACCACACTTTACAATTTTGCCACATGGCAAAAGCTAATAAATGTCAGATTGAAATGTCAGCAAGATTGCAGCATTATAGAAAAATAATATTTAAATAAATTCCGGGCAGGAAATAAATATGGAGCACTTTTGTAACTCCAAGCCACCTTTAGTTTGAGGAGATCTTTTTCTAATGACTTTCCCAAATAACATTTTATTTGGAGCTCTAGAAACTCTCGAAAATCCTTTGATTCATTGCCCAATCAAATAGACAGCCTAGATCTGCATTTCACGGTGACAACAGACTTGGAGCATTATTGACGCTCAATCTTTTTCTTTTTTTTTTTCCTTTTTTTCAAGACAACTATTTTTGGAGAGGATGAGTCTGATATAAACATTTAGGGTATCTCACCCACCTCAAAGAGGCTTTTGAAGGGGGTCACATTCTAACATAACGATCCTATGGACAACAAGTTTTCCCCTAATTGATTACCACTTTGTGCCTTGTCTCTTCTCCACCCTCAGTAGATTCTTTTCAGAATGAGGATTAAGTAGTAGCCCTTACAAATAGACCATAGCATTCCAAATCATAGAGACTGCCAAAATATTTTAAGTTGTACATTGTACAATACAAGGTACAAAGAGCAATCGGATCATCCTGCCAACTTGACAATTTATCATCATCATCAAAGCCTTTTCCAAACTAATTGGGGTTAGCTCAACTTGACAATTATCCATACTAAAGATTTGATCAAGAATCAAAAGTAATTTGAAATCTCTCTAATTGACTAAACAAGAAATCATGGTCCTTTGTCAATGAAGAAATTGGAAATCAAAATCAGAAAGAAAAGATAACTTCTGAAATTCATACAGATTTGAAAAATCGAAGGGTGCTTTTAACAATATACATAGAAAATGCACATTTTCCCGAGTACCCCTTACAAAACATCTGTTTTTCTTTTGGTTCATCAAGTGTGGCATATGAATCTGGAATATAAGTTTGCATTCATCAGCACTGTAATCAGCTAAATAACAAGATGTTCATCATCAGCACTGTAATCAGCTAAATAACAAGATGCTCATCATCAGCACTGTAATCAGCTAAATAACAAGTTGTTCATCAAATATGGACTAGTTCTCATTCTAGTCAATCAAATTACACCAAGAAAATGGAATCCCCCAAAAATCAAGGTTAGAAATTTTATCAGACAAATTAAGCAATAAGAATTACTGGAAAAAGACATAGAATGATGCAAATTACAATTCAATTAACTCACAGAACACCCGATGCATACTGGATGTGTAAAAGGGCCTATCAACCAGCCAAGAATGCTTTGTCAAAAATAATAAGAAAAATACCTTCTGAAAAAAAGTTGTCAATACACATTCTATTGTTAAGTACAAAATGCAAAAAGTCAACCACAAAGAAACAAAATCATAAAACAATATTATGTACGTTAAGCTATACCTGGTAATTTTCTTGGTTTCCTCAAAGGAACAAATTTTGCCCCAATCTCCAATGCAATGGGAGGACCAAATATAAAACCCCTTGCTTCAATTCCTGGAAATGCATACTATATCTCCAAATTAGTTCCATTCAACAAGTTATTAAATGGTAAGAAAACAGCACTAATCACAAACACATAGCCTAAGATCACAACAAAAATTACATCATTTAGGAGCTAGTTGACTCAGTTTTTATGGGGAACAAGCTTCATGGTTCAAAACCATGACCTCCCTTATAATAACAAAGAGATGGCCTAAAGGCATGCAACACACAGCAAAGATGGTTACATTATTCATCAAAGTAAAAAGATGAATGGGAAAAACGAACGGTGTACTATCTCAGCATGTCAATACCAATGCTGAACCTACAGAATACAAAGTGGCACATTTTCAACCACAATGATTATCTAAAACACAGAAATGAAAACCAAGAAGTATTTTACATGAGAAGAAACCAATAACAACAACTTTTAGTAGAATACAGGGACCAACAGTACATGGAAATAAACTAGAAGGGAAAATTTGTCATTTCATGTAGTTCACAAATGCTTGACAAAAAAAATCATTTCAAATAAGTAAACATATGTACTGTGCCAAGGCATTGCATTTGAAACTAGTTATTTCCTTTCACATAATATAGAACTTCAAAATCAAGTAAATCTTTAAACCTCGACAAGAGCAATAAAAATAGCATAAGAAAGTTATTAAGTATATTTTAATCCTAAGACACAAGGTGTGAGAAAGTAAGGACTGTTCACACTTCCAATTACTAGTCATACTGGTCCCTTGTATCAATAAAACAGGATATGGTGAAAAAAAGAAAAAAAAAAGACAAAAATGAATTAAAAAGAAAAAATAACAGAACAATGCTATAAAAGATGAATTTGGAAAATAAAAGATTTCACAAAAAATGTTATTTAACTTTAAAAAATCCTTATTAAAAAAAGGCCATTCTACTTATTTTGAAAAGTTGAGTTGTTTCACGTTAGCGTCCATTTTCATTTTAGAATTTAAACCACAAACCCAGTATGACCATTGTGCCATTTTGTAACAGCTCTCGCTCTAAATAGAAAACATGTTACCTTCATATAATGGCTGATTTATGACCCTACTGCTTACCATTACAGGCCGGGTCCATTACCAATATGGCTGCAGTTATTATTACATAAAGGCCCATTTCTTTAACCTTGTCTTTTAAATAGGAGACAGAAGAAAGAAAATTTGCAGCATCATGAACTTTGAAGCAACACTAATGGTATATTTCCAAGATTTCACAGGGGGCAGAAATAACACAAACCTGAAACACAAGATTCAATGGTCTAAAAAGCATAAAAGACACAATAAGATAAAAGTAGGATCAATAAATATCACTTTCATCTAGTTCTTTCATTGTTCAAGCATTGATATATAATTCTTTCATTTTCCATTAGCACAATGTACTTTTCAAGATTGTCACTTCTATCTTGGTCATCTACTATACTCAACTAGGATGATAAATTGCACCAGACCATATGAAATGTGAACTTCGCATTTGAATCCACAGTACAAGACTACATAAAACTTGGCACTAGTCTAGGATTTGCATCCTAAGTCAAGCACAACATCAGAGCAGTGGCACAACCATTACACACTACAAGCATAGTGAGAGGGACCACCAATGTTTCTAATTCCGCAACAAATATACACCTTGGAAAAGCCCTCGCAGGCTCTATATCCAAATATGGCTGCCTGGGACCGCAGGAGGCAGCTTCCCCAACGTGAGGCGGTCCCTTCACAAGAAGGAAGTCCTAAGCATTGTCGCCCACATAAAAAAAATTTCAACACTTACAGAAAACAGCCCAATAGTGAGGACAGTATTGTTATTTTTTTCAACAAATATTGAGGATAAATCAATGTTATAGGTGACCAACCCGGTGAGGGCACTGGTACAGCAGGAACAGCCAGTCAAGAGTTTCACCAGTCATACCATTCAGTCAATTTAAAAAAAAAAATTTGGAAAAAGGAGAAATGGGAAAATTAAGGAAAAGTACAAAAAAAAGGAAAAAAATTGAAAATTTATTAGAAACAAAAATAACCCAGCAACATCAAGCAATAAGTCAATAGACTCCACTAATAAACAATGAGACAATAATAAACAAGACAGAAGAAAACAGCCCACTAGTGAGGGCGGTATTGTTATTTTCTCCACAGATCATCATCATCACCTGAGCCTTATCCCAATATTTCTGCTACGAATATTGAAGATAAATCGATGTTTTTTACATCAGACCAGTGATTGAACAGGTAACAACACAGGCCCAGCTGGAGGCCAGTCCAGGCGGTTCACTAATCAGAACAGTCAGTCAACTTAAAAATTAAAAAATGGAAGAAGGAAGAAAAGAGAAATCAAGGAAAATAAGAAAAATAGAAAAAAATGGAAAAGTCCATAAGAAACAAAAATAAACCATCAACATCAAGTAACATGTCCATAGACTCAATACTCAACTCATTAACAATGAAAAACAACAGATATGTAACAAACAAGTTAAATGACTATTGAAGGCCTTAAAAAAGATCCACAACCAACAATTGCACAAATTGTAAAAGCCCTTAAAATTTAAACACAGAAAATGCAAAAAAAAAAACAAAAACACAAAATAATTTCTTTTCTTTTTTTTTTGTCATTGCATTTGCAGTTTTACTTTTAAAGGGCATTTACAAATTAAAAAGCCCTTCAAAAATCAAAACAGAAATAAACAAAAACAACTCTCAGTTTTCCTTTTTCTTCATATTTTCAGCTATGATTATTTAAGGGTGTCTACAAAATTATAAAATCCCATCAAAAATCAAAACCAAAAATATAAAAGAAATTCACAACTAAATTTTCAGCAAGAATCCTAAACCCAAAACCTGAAATTCTTTTCATTATTTGCCTTCCTAAATCCAGAAGAAATTAAATAAAAAAAAAAGTCATACTTATTTGTGTGTTGAATATTTCGTCCTTAGAAGCGATTGTACTTATATCCCGAGTTTGATTTAAGGATTGATGAATGAATCTTTTTTGTGTGATTGGGAGTCCCCAACAAATGTCATAGGACCCTACCCATAATTAGCAAATGCAAAATATAATGCACCACTTAGGAAAGTGAGATTTTATTCCTCTTAGATTTAAAACAATTTGGAGTTTGGGAGATGTTCGTATTCGTGACTTGAATTGGGCACTTTGCTGCATCAAGTTCAAAAGGTTCTTTGATAAACCAAGATAAAAGATGTACATATAGCTAATGTTTGATTTAAGGGCAACAACAAATGAATCTTGTATGTGTGAAATCTCCCTCCCTCCCTCCCTCCC